TGCTTGGCTCAACTGTGGTCGCTAAACGAGGACTATCTATATCTGAAGGCGGGGAGAGGTGGGATCCCTATCATGTAAACCAGACCTTTGAGTTTTAAGAATTGGAAAATACTAATTACATCCCTTGGAAAATATTTCATTTTCATTTGTTGTTGCTTTTTGATACGGTAGCAATAGCACTTAGACTTATATGCTGCTTTACAGTGAAAGATTGAGGGGCAATAGAAGAAGAAGGGGATGGAAGAGAAGGAGGTGGCTGGATGGAGCCATTGAAGCAGTTGGTGTGAGCTTAAATGGACTCCAGAAGAGGACAGGAAGGCCTGGAGGAACGTTTCCCATGGGGTTGCAATGGGTCGGACACAACTTCCCAACCACCAACAAGAACACAACCTTTTCTAAGTGGTTTACAGAATCAGCCTATTTGCCCCCAACCATCTGGGTCCTCATTTTACCCACCTCGGAAGGAAGATTGAGTCAACTTTGAGCTGGTCAGGATCAAACTCCTGGCAGTGGGCAGAGTCAGCCTGCAATACTGCATTCTAACCACTGCGCCCCCATAGTTCCTTTCCAGCAGCCTTTCTACAGCATCTTAATTGTACATTAAACTGTCCAGAGTCAATTTGCACAGTGAGATGGGTAGCATATCAATGTAACAAATGAATGAATGAATGAATCTGTGTGGGAGGAACAATAGGGGAAAATAATGTCTCTGCATTATAATTTCACTGTGCAAATGACAGCATTTGTATCATTTCTGGGTTGACAGAGATATCTGGACATAATTGTAGCCCATCCTGGATACTTACAAGCTTTTCCCAACCTGGAAACCTCCGAAGTATCTGCAATTATAGCGCAGTTACCTCTGAAGGATGCCAGATGTGAAAAGGCTGCTGTAGATTCAACTGCTTCTATGATGGCCAAAGTTAGCTAGGGAATTGATGAATCAGCCCTTCTCTTTAAACAATCTGTGATACTCTTTTCTTCCCACTTTTCACCACTCTTATTTGCTGCTAGCACCCCACTGCTTCCAAATCTCCATTTTATGGTGTATCATCTGAATATTTCTACAAAGGGTCAAAATTAAAAGCTCGTTTATTGGGTAATTATCGACATCATGCTTACAAGTAGTTAACCTTCTAATGCCCCTTTCTCTCCCTGCTTCCAATCCCAGCATCGAGAGAAAGGAAGCAATTATCAGCAGATGTACTAATTCAGAGAATGAATCCTTGTGCTGGCCAGATTCTTCCCCAGCGGGGGGATGAAAGAAAACGGAAATAAAAGAGAATAAAGACGAAGCAGGGGCATTTCAACAGTCTCCAAATAATTAAGATATCTGAACCACATCACAAAACATTGCAAAAATACGTCACCGCTATTTGGCTCCCCCCACACACACTTTTTTTCATACTGTCCTCCTTCGTCCATTTGAAACAATTCTGATAAGTTCCACACCCCCTCCAAAGTAACTTTATGGGTGGATTTTTACCTTTGCTGCTGGTTGAACTTGCAACGACAGCGCCGGCCTAGGAGAGGAAGAGAGAAAGAAGAGTTGAGTAAGGATCCCAAAAGAATCTGAGCAGGGATGAGGGGATTATTTTGGTGAGAAGCGCCATTTAATAGAATAACAGATACTGGAAAGGACCTTGGAGGTCTTTTAGTCCAATCCTCTGCTCAAGCAGGAGATTCTATACCATTCTGGACAAATGGCTGTCCCATCCCTTAAAAAAACTCCAGTGTTGGAGCGCTGAGGAATTCTGGGAGTTGAAGTCCACAAGTCTTAAAGTTGCCAAGGTTGAAGACCCCCTGATCTATGACACATTTTATTTTACAGGCGTAAGACTTGGATACCACAGTGTGATTGTTGGGTTCAGACCAGGGGTGGGATTCAAATTTTTTAACAGCCGGTTCTCTGGGCGTGGCTTAGGTGGTGGGTGTGGCTTGGTGGGCATGTTATTGGCTGGGTATGGCCAACTCAACATCACTCACATCAAGGCACGCATCTCCTCGCCTGGCCTCTCATGACTGTGAGGATGTTGCAACAGTCGTAAGTGTGAAAAACGTTCATAAGTCACTTTTTTCAGTGCCATTGTAACTTTGAATGATCACTTCACACAAGCAAAGTACCAGCAAAGGAGGGGGAAAAACTCCAGAGACGTTCCTGAGACAGGAAGTCCAGTCCTGCCAAGAATGTAATAAGGGTTAACGGAGAGGCAGTTTCTGTAAGCAACACCAGAATGTTTCCTTCCTGCCTTCCTTACAGGATTAGGCCAGTAATTTCTTCTAACAATCGGTTCTCCAAACTGCTTAGAATGTTAACAACCGGTTCTCGCGAATAGGTGCAACCTGGTAAAATCCCACCCCTGGTTCAGACCTAAGAGAGAAGTCAGACTCAACCAAACCACACCAGTGCTTTCCTTGATGTATGAACACACTCTGTATTGTTCAACAGGTATTCTGATCCCAACCCACTAAGCCTCCCCCTTTCCTGGGCAACCACTGGATGGTAGCTACTCACTAAGAATAATGAGGATGCCCATCAGAAACAGGACAACGGCAAACACCAAGCCTCCAACTCTCAGCGAATAGTAATCTGGTGCAAGGGGGAAAAAAATGAGTTTGTCATGCGAGGAATAGAACATAGCCTGGAATTAGAACCAAGAACCCTATTTCTATAGGCCGAAAACCCACGGGAGGGGTGAAGTGTGGTCCATCCATTCCTGAGCCATCTCCATCACTGATCCCTCCCCTTCCTATTTTATGAGCTCTTGCCCGATCCCTTAGCCTTACGGTTAGGGTTAGGACTCCATGAATTTGGAGAGCAAAATGGATATCATTGACAGACTCGTAAATGCATTGTTATGCTTAGGAGGGGCATTCCTTTTTGAGGCCACTCTATCTGCCTTTCATAGTAAAATGCATGGGGAAATTCCACTGGAGGGCAAATCCACTTAGCGTTCACCCCCTAAACGAACAAGGATGCCATAAGCCACCTCCCTCATGGAGGAGGCCAAGAGGAGGATAGCTCCATGGGGACAAAGTCAAGCACATGTGTTACCATGGTTTTATTATGTTGGGATTGTCTGCAAATGGAGAGCCCGCATGGTGTAGTGGTTAAGGTGCTAGCGTAGAAACCAAGAGACTGGGAATTCTAGTCCCGCCTTAGGCATGAAAGGAGACTCAAGGTGGGATAAATTAAAAAAATATAAGTGGATTCCAGAGGCGTTCTACTTCAGTTCCTAAATCAGCAAATTATTGTGGACATCTTTCCCCACTTCTCTTCTTCTGTGTTGTTGTCCTATTAACTTCGTAACGCAAGAAGGGAAGTAGAGGAAAGGAACACAATCCCATTTGCATCCAAAGATCTAATACTAGCTTTTTAGTAGAGGTCAGGTGAGTGTTTTTTCAAAGAAAGTCCAAAGAAAAGGGATCCTTCTCTAAAGCATTATTGTGATCCTCAGAATCATCCGCCTCTTTCCATATTAAATAAAAACAAGAGGAATCCTTCGGAGTTTTTTTTGTTTCCCTTTTTCCTGTGCTTTGTTTCCTAACTCTGCCGGTTGTAGCAATTTGCATTGGCTCCCAAGGCCCCAGACAAGCTTTCAGGAATGATTAACTTACCATAATTGAAGGGGTCATGAGGTTCATCCTGGGGGGACTCTGAAAGATGAACAAGGAGATGAATTATGAAAGACCCAACGACAGCCTTAACTGTGCTCCCCAACCAGTTTAGGCGAGGGAGCTGTCATCAAAATTAGAAAAACAGATAAGTTAAAAAAAAAATGACAATAAAGATTATCTTATCTGTTTTTCTAATCGTGATTAGAAGGGGAAAAAAGAGTCAGCAGATTATTTGTTTTAGCTCCTTTGAAACCCAGCAGGACATATGTTTAATCTCAAAGGCTTCCACCATCTGCAAATATAATAAGAGCTAAAACTTTTCTACACAAACTCACCCATTTATTATGTTCTTCGTTTTCTCCTATGGCCAGTCTAGCAGAGTTGACCTTGCATGCCTCGCCTCTTAAATCAGTGTGTCCCAACCCTTGGCAACTTTAAGTTACGTGGACTACAACATCCAGTGTTCCACAGCCAGACTGGGTGGCTGGGGAATTCTGGGAATTGAAGTCCACTTAACTTAAAGTTGCCAAGGGTTGGGACACACAATGTTTTAAATCGTTGCATAGAAGTCAGCATTTAAACCGGGACATCTATCCATGCAATTGTGGTCATAAGTCTCAGAATTATCTGTATTCATTCCCTATTTATTTTTAAAAGCTTCACCTTGCCCATATGTTTCAGATCTTTTCATTTCTGTCTATGTTTATATATATATATATATGTGTGTGTGTGTGTGTGTGTGTGTGTGTGTGTTTATATAAGACCCATAGTGGCGCAGTGGTTAGAATACAGGCTACTTCTGCTGACTGCCAACTGCCAGCAGTTCAATTCTGACCGGCTCATGATTGACTCAGCCTTCCATCCTTCCAAGGTCGGTAAAATGAGGACCCAGATTGTTGAGGGCAATAAACTGATTCTATGAAACACTTAGAGAGGGCTGTAAAAGCACTTCGAAGCCAGAGGTGGTATTCAGCAGGTTCTGACCAGTTCTGGAGAACCGGTTGCGGAAATTTTGAGTAGTTCGGAGAACCAGCAAATGCCACCTCTGACTGGCCCCGCCCCCATCTATTCTCCGCCTCCCATTGAGTCCCAGCTGGGTCTTCTTTTGTTGCCCTGCAAAGGAGAACGGAGCTGAAAAGCAGGTTAGTGGGGTGGGGAGGGAATGGGGATTTTGCAGTCTCGTTCCCCTGCCATGCCCACCAAGACACGCCATGCCACACCCACCAAGCCACACCCACAGAACCGGTAGTAAAAGAATTGGAATCCCACCACTGTGTGAAGCAGTATATAAGTCTAAGTGCTACTGCTATTTTTCTCCCCTCACACTGTGGGCTATTTTGTTATTTTACAACGGATCGCTGTTCTTAAGCTATTTTACTTTTCAACCGTTTCAAAGCTGAAGAACTGGTACCGCTTTCGTGTACGTTGCCTTTTCATATGTTCCACTGACTTATTCCTCAGAAACGAATGTCTCGCCGCTGAAGAATAGAGAAGGCTGATGAACACACGGAGTTCTTCCCCCTCTGTTCTAGTTAAGGGAAGTCAAAAGCAGTACTGAAGTCAGCCGCTGTAAATAAATAAATACTTTAAACAAGATCTCATGCCTACTTGGTTGAAATGTAGGTCCGTTCAACCCCTTTTACGATAGCTGAGATGCAACTAATTCTGGATAAATTGGTTTTAACTCACAGCATCATTTTAATGTACAAGTTTGGCCCAATGACTGGATTTAACTCATTCAACTAATCCAGGGGTCTTCAAACTTGACAACTTTAAGACTTGTGGACTTCAACTCCCAGAATTCCTCCTCCAGTCATGTTAGCTCAGGAATTCTGGGAGTTGAAGTCCACAAGTCTTAAACTTGCCAAGTTTGAAGACCCTTCATCTAATTCGTAAGAGTTCGATTGGATTAACACTGGATTTCCCAACTTTGTCATCTTCTAAACTGAAGATGTTACCTTAATGGGTAATGAAACGTCTGGAAGCAAACAACCAAACTCAGAGAGCACCAAGGGCTCCACAGTTCAACCTTGAGCTACAGATATATTTTTTTCCATTGGTTCTAAATGTATGCTTCTCAGTTCCCAGAATTCTTAGCAACAAGCCCATTAGCAGGGCATCCTGGGAACTGAAGTCTATATATCTAAAAATTGACAAAGGTGAATACACTGACTTGGACATGCTGTGAACTACAGCTGTGTAATGTATCATAATTATCATCTTAAAAACCATGGTTTAGCATGATGTGTAATCCTAGTCAATTCAGTCTGTGCATTCTATACACTTTGTTATTCTTTGCATGGGAATGAAACTGGACTTTCAAAATTACAACCATCATGTCTCAGTGGGGAGTCAAAAACTCACTTTTAATGTCACCAACTCTTTCACCATCATTACTATTATACAAGTAATAAATAATCCTAACCCCAAAGGTAGGTGAGATTTCTCAGGATATAAAGTTACATTGATTCAAAAGGGGGAAAAAATATATCCTGCCTTCCCTTAAAGATCAGATCAATATTCTAAAACAGCTTTTGAATTTCAATTCTCAAAACCTCAGGCAGACAGGTTATCTACAAATAAGGTGTCCAAGAGTCCATGGGTGGCTGGGAAATCCCTATGCTTTGCAACACACGCCACGGAGCTTCCATATCTGCCTCCATTGTCTGGACTCGAGTTCAAAAGGTCAGAGTTTGTCTCACGGTGTCACAAGGCACAATTCCGTCGTTTTTGTGTCACCTTGAGTTGTCCTGGGGCGGAGAAGTAGACACCCAACACTTTAAAAGCACAGCAGGACAGGCAGTGAGTATTGACTAGAACTAACCTTCAAAATATAATATGCATCCCTTGGAACGGGCAATTGCTAAGAAGTTTTGGTATCTTAAGTTTCACAAAGTACAGGTAGTCCTCATCTTATGACTTCAATTGAGCTCAAAATTTATGTTGCTAAAGAGAGACATTTATTAAGTGAGTTTTGGCCCACTTTAGGACTTTCCTTGCCATAGTTGTTAAGTGAATCACTGCAGTTGTTAAATCAGTTGTGGTTAAATCAGCAGTGGTTAAATCAAGATTTGTTGGAGCCCCGACACACGGTTGTTAAGTGAGCCTGGCTTCCCCATTGACTTTCCTGGTCAGAAGGTCACAAAAAGGGGATCCCATGCCCCCCTGGACATTGCAAACCGTCATAAATGTGAGTCGGTTGTCAAGAAGCCGAATGTAAATCACATGACCATGCGGATGCTGCAATGGTCAACAGTAAGAAAAATAGTCATGTCACTTTTTTTCAGTGCCATTGTAATTTTGAACTGTCACTAAGTGAACTGTTGTAAACCGAGGACAATCCATATAAAGTTGTATAAAGAAGGTGGGTTTAGAAAAACCCAGCCAATCCAAGACTCGGATTATGGCATCTTTATGTCTCAGTGTTTTTGTGCTAGGCAGGATAGCAATAGCAATAGCATTTAGACTTATATACCGCTTTACAGTGCTTTACAGCCCTCTCCAAGCGGTTTACAGAGTCAGCTTATTTCCCCCCAACAATCTGGGTCCTCATTTTACCAACCTTGGAAAGATGGAAGGCTGAGTCAACCTTGAACCCGGTGAGAATTGAACTGCCAAATTGCAGGCAGCCGGCAGGCAGCAGAAGTAGCCTGCAGTACCGCATTCTAACCACTGCACCACCGCAACCCTTATACAGTGGGATGGGTTTGCTTGTGTGTATACGTGTGTTTCTGAAAGGCAGCGTTCTCACTTTCTGCTGTTAAGTCCTCCAAGACCAGACTTACCTGCCGCTGAGTTTGCTATGAAGATCCCACAAAGAGGAAGGAGGAGCCACATGTCTACAAGATGAGAGGAGATAAAATACAGAAAGGACAGTCAGGTTCCTGGATGGAACAAAGCCGTTGAGTTGGAGCACGTAACCCAACTGTGAAACACTCAACCCATAGTCTGTGCTTTGGGTTGCTTTCTAGGAAATGGGGACTTCCCACTTTGGAAATAGCAAATTGTCTCTGTCTTTATGGCTGGATGGAAATGCCAGATGTTGCTGAACTACAATTCCCATCTGACTGTATTTGGCTAAGACATCTGGGAGATCTCATCCACGCCTACAATAAGGGGACAAAATGTATGTCACATGAAGCACCCTAGGCTTCTCCAACAGCAAGAAGCTGACTCCTCGTCCTGATAAACCCCTTTTATTGAGTTTACAGTGAATTCCTCTCCAGCAAAGTCCCGGCTAATAGTCTTTCAAGATATTCCACAATTACAGACCTTTATCAGGCTTGGAGAGTTACCAGGCTGATATCTTTCAGAGGCCACACTGTAGCAGACAATAATTGGCAAAAATGCAGGAACAGATCTTCACCCAAATGAACTAATTGTCTCCTGCAAAACCCCACTCCTTTTTGCTCCTCTTTAATTCCCTCTGGGAGGGGCCATTCACTGTCCACCTGTGGCTTTATTCCCAAGTCGGCCCTTGTTCCTTAGCTGTTCCCTTCTTCTGGCAGCTCTGTGCCTGCGCACACTGGGAACAGGCTCCAGCTGTTCTTCTGCCTCACTGATGTCCGAAGGCAGCTGATAAACTGTCTGATGGCCCTGGCCCCATTTCTGCCTCCGATGCAGAGCCCTCATCAGACCCTTCCCCAGACTCCAGGACTGGCCCATATTCCTCCCCAACCTCCTCACTGATCGAGTCTGCCGTCAGCTCTGCTGGCCACTGGCAGGCCACAACGCTCCCATTCTAAAAAGCAAGTCAGAAACCTTTCCTTTCAACCCCTAATTCTCCCGCCAATATTCCTGCACTTCCACTCTTCATTTAGCCCCCTTTTTCTTATTTATTGCTATCCCGCCTTTATTGTTTTTACAAATAATAACATATCCAAGACCTTCCCTGCCATATATTTTCCCCCACAACAACCCTGTGAGGTAGCTTGGACTGAGAGAGAGGGACTGGCCCAAGGTCACCCAGGTGGCTTTCATGGCTAAGGCAGGATCCTCAATACATTAACAGAGTTGGAAGGGACCTTGTAGGTCATCTAGTCCAACCCCCTCCCAAGCAGGAGACCCTACGCCATTTCTGACAGATGGCAGTCCAGTCTCTTCTTGGAAGCCTCCAGGGATGAAGCTCCCACAACTTCCGAAGGCAACTTCTGTTCCATGGGTTGATTGTTCTCACTGTCAGAAAATTCCTCCTTATTTCTAGGTTGAATATTTCTAGGCCTTGGACTGTCCTGTTTTCTAGCTTGATGCCTCAATCACTAAGACTGTACAGGTAGTTCCTCGACTTACAACACTTCATTTAGCGTCCGTTCAAAGTTACAAACGTCACTGGAAAAAGTGACTTATGACTGTTCTTCACTCTTACGACCATTGCGGCCTCCCCAGGGTCATGTGATCAAAATTCAGATACTTCTCCACTGACTCACATTTATGACGGTTGCAGTGTCCAGAGGTCTGACCAGCAAATTCAATGGCGAAGCCAGGTCCACTTAACAACCCTGTGTGCTAACATAACCAGTGCAGTGGTTCACTTACTAACCGTTCCAAGAAAGATCGTCAAATGAGGCAAAATTCACTTAACAAATGTTTCACTTAGCAACAGAAATATTGAGCTCAATTGTGGTCATAAGTTGAGAACTACCTGTACTAGCCACTAGGCATGCAAACATATGCAAAGCGACTCTTTTCTTGCACATTCCCAACGACTGCAATCAATAAGGTAATCCTTGACTTGCAACCACTCACTTAATGAGCTGCGGTGGTGCAGTGGTCAGAGTGCAGTACTGCAGGCTACTTCTGCTGACTGCCGGCTGTATGCAATTTGGCAGATCGAATCTCACCAAGCTCAAGGTTGACTCAGCCTTCCATCCTTCTGAAGGTGGGTAAAACGAGGACCCAGATTGTTTGGGGCCATAGGCTGACTCTGTAAACCACTTAGAGAGGGTTATAAAGTACTTTAAATGGGTATATAAGTCTACGTGCGATTGCTAAGTGCTAATGTCCCTCTGAGAGCTATCTATGATCTGTTTCTGATGTATGATAACCACAAACACTCCCTTGTCTCCCACAGTCATATGATCACACATTGGCATTTGGCAACCAGTTTAAGTTTACAGCTTATTTGAAGTGTCCCACTGCCACATGATTATAATTTACGATGTTTCTGGCATTTAATTCCAGTTTCTAGCAAAATATATATATATTCATTGGGGAAAATTAACTTGTTTGGTGAACAAAAACAAAAAAAAATGTTGAAAAATCCAGTCAGGATTTTCACATAATGTCTTGATTTATGACCACAATGACGATAGTAATTCCAGGCTCAATTACATCTGCAAATCGAGGATTGCAGTACCCTACGATTACGACTTTTCTGTCTTGGTAAGTCTCTGGGCCTTTGCCATCTCTTCTTAGCTGAAGCAGCCACCCCAAATTCGACAGATAACCTCTCTCCCCAAATCACTGCACTGTCAGGACAAGAAAACACACCATGGGGTTAGGGTTCGTTCTTCTGTTCAGCACAGGAGCTTTGCCAAGTCCCATCGGCAGCTGTCAACAGCAGCAATCCAAACATCAAAATAATAATAATAATAATAATCAGCAAAAGGAAAGTCAGAAGAAGGGGGAGCATTTGGGATTTTAAAAATGGGAAATCCGCAAAGGAGCGACATTCCAAAATAAGCCATGGTGGCGCAGTGGTTAGAGTGCGGTACTGCAGGCTACTTCTGCTGACTGCCAGCTGACTACAATTTGGCAGTTTGAATCCCACCAGGCTCAAGGTTGACTCAGCCTTCCATCCTTCTGAGGTGGGTAAAATGAGGACCCAGGTTGTTGGGGGCAATAGGATGACTCTGTAAAACCACTTAGAGAGGGCTGTAAACAGTGGTGGTGGGATTCAAATTTTTTTACTACTGGTTCTGTGGGCGTGGCTTGGTGGGCGTGGCAGGGGAAGGATATTGTAAAATCTCCATTCCCACCCCACTCCAGGGGAAGGATATACTGAAAAATCTGCATTCCCTCCCACTCCTGGGGGAAGGATACTGCAAATTCCCCATTCCCTCCCCACCCCACTAGCCTGCTTTCCAGCTCCGTTCTCCTGTGCAGGGCAACCAAAGGAGACCCAGCCAATGATCAGCTGGGACTCAATGGGAGGCAGAGAAGAGATGGGGGCGGGGCCAGTCAGAGGTGGTATTTGCCGGTTCTCCAAACTACTCAAAATTTCCGCTACCGGTTCTCTAGAACCTGTGAGAACCGGCTGAATACCACCCCTGCCTGTAAAGTACTGTGAAGCGATATATAAGCACTATTGCTAGTTCTATAAAGGTTTATCTTCCCGATTGCAAAGTTTTTTTTTTTTTTTGAAGAAAAGATGGACAAGAGAGGGGAGAAGGTGGAGGATGAGACCGCAGCTGCTGGAACAGCTGGAGAGGAAAGCATTCTGCATGGAGAAGGAGGGGGGGAGACCAAAACAGCCAGGTGGAAAGGAAACCGAGCTGGAGGGAGGGAGAAGCAAAGCAAGCTTGGAACAGCTGGTGCTGGGCCCATTATTTCACATTCTGAAATGACCCAGCTGGCCCTGGAGGGAGGGCAAAGGCCAGTTACTATGGCAGTGAAATGTTTGCAGTGCGGGAAGGAAAACGTCCTGCAATGTTTGCAGGTGATAAACCTGTCTCCACGGTGCTCAGGGATGTGGCAACCAGCTTCCCTTCTGCCAGCTGTTGCCCACCAGGCAATTTCCAGATGGCAAATGCCTACGGACCATGCTTAGTCAGGACATTTGGGGAGAGGGGTGTGTATGTGTGTGTGCGTCCGTGTGTGGGATCAGCATTGTTGAAATCAAAAGCAGCCCAACTTCACACACACACACACAAGCTGAGCTGGCAAGTCCAGGCATCTTATGGTCTAGGGTGCTTTTATGGGAAAACAAAAGGGATTCGCAGGAAAAACAAAAACAAAAGTTGCAATGTATTTCTCTCCGTGAACCACAACCACAACAAAACAGTTTTCTAACCCTGGTGGTCAGGAGACAACGGGAGTTGCAACGGGAGGCCCAATTACAACAACCCCATCAACGGGAATACTGTATTTTGGGCTCTGAACTAAAACTTCTCCCTACAAATCTGAGCTCCCAGCAAAGAAAAAAAGAGGAAGAAAGAACTTTTAAAAGGAAATAATCAACTCTGTTTCTCAGGCTTTTTTTTTTTTTTAAAGTTCATGTACCCGCAAATATATTTTTATATTCGTCTAAAAATACAAAGCAACTGAATAAGTTTTTCCCACAGACCAAATGAGCTCCTGCCCTTGAGATCCACGCTTTTCGACCTTAAGCTGAGACCTCAAACTGGAAAAACTAAACTGAAACTTCGGTATTTCTCACTCGCTGCAGGTAGTCCTCAACTTACGAACCTCAACGGAATCCAAAGTTTCTATTGCTAAGTGAGACATTAAAATGAGTTTGGCCCCATTTTAAGCCCTTAAGTCATTAAGTGAATCACTACCCTTGTTAGGTTTGTTTGTTAAGTGAATCTGGGCTTCCCCATTGACTTTCCTTGATAGGTCGCAAAAGGAGATCATGTGACTCTGGAACCCTGCAAACCGTCGTAAGTATGAGTCCGTTGCCAAGCATCTGAATTTTGATCACGTGACCACGGGGATGCTGCAAACCGTTGTAAGTGTGGAAAATGGTCATAAGTCCCTTTTTTCCCCCAATGCCGTAACTTTGAATGGTCATGAATGAACTTTACGTACTTATTTGGCCCTCTGGAGAATTTTCTATGCTCTGACTTAAAAAAAAAATTCATCACAGATTCAATGAAAAGTACGTATTAAAATTGTCAATTGCTGCAGTAATTGAAAATCCCTGATATTTTTTTTATCTGCATTCATCTCTGAAAGATGTTCCAAGACTTCTGGATTTTCTATTGTAAGCTAAGGACTATCCATACTGCATAAAAATCCCTTGCTTTAATAGTTCAGGTGGCTTCAGGGGTGGGATTCGAGCAGTGTTACAACCAGTTCGATGACTATGTTTTGCACTGTGCGCGCATGTAAAAAAAAAACCTTAAGCTGTGCCGCCCAGAGAGCTGAAAAGCACAGCACGCAGGTGCGCAGCGTTTAAAAAGCTTTCCTGCTTTTTCAACCTCAGCTGGGCCACGTGGCACAGCTGAGGTTGAAAAAGCAGGAAATAAAGGTCAGGTAAGAGCCCAGGCAGGCAGGTGGGCCAAACAGCAGCAAACACAGAACTGGTTCAGTGTCTGCTGCTCTTCAGAGCCATAGGTTCTATAGAACCAGGCAGAACCGGTAGCATCCCATCCCTGGGTGGCTTTATTACAATGTTCAAAAAAGACCAGAGAAATAAAGCGTTAGGTATCTCTCCAGAGCCTGCAGATTCCCAATCAAACGTGCCCCGGGTCAAAACAAACAAACAAACAATAATCATTTTAAAAATGGGATGGTAAACCTATTTTGCTGGAAGATATACAGGAAGTCCTTGAGTTATGACCATCATTGAATCCAACGTTTCTCTGGCTGTGCGAAACATTGGTGAAAGGAATTTGCCCCGTTTTACGACCTTTCTTGCCACAAGTGAATCTAGCTTCCCCTGTTGACTGTGTTTAATAAGAAGATGGCAAAAGGGGATCGCCTGATCTCAGGACCACTGCAACCAGTTGCTGAGCGTCCAAATTTTGAACCCTTGACCATGAGGATGCCGCAAGGATCGTAAGCAGTCATGGGATTCAGCCAGTGTAACAACTGGTTTGGTGAGAATGCGCGTGCGCGCCAAATGGGTGCTTCGCGCACGTGTGCAGCATTTGACAACAGCTCTGAAACTTACCTTCTACGGCAGCCCTGGTGAGTAAAACAGCTGAGGCGCAGCAATCCACTGTGCCGCACTTAGCAGCTGAGCTGCAAAACACGAACAGACTAAGGCAGGGGTGGGCAAGCAGGGCCAACTGATCACAGGCACTACTGGTTCGCCTGAGCTGGGAGAATCCCACCCAGAGGTGATATTCAGCAGGTTCTGACCAGTTCTGGAGAACCGGTAGCGGAAACGTTGAGTAGTTCGGAGAACCGGCAAATCCCGCCTCTGACTGGCCCTGCCCCCATCTACCCTGCCTGCCTCTGAGTCCCAGCTGATCGGCTGGCTCTTCTTTTGTTGCCCGGCATAGGAAAATGGAGCTGGAAAGCAGGTTTGTGATGACCCAGAGCATGACACAAAAATAACACAGTCACAAAAGTAGAACAAATTCCCTTTAATGCCTCCAACTTGGGCCCCAATGTCCAATTATCCTCGGCTTGATATCAAACTCTTCCAAAAACAGTCTACGAAGAGAGTAATGCAGTCCGAACCAAAAGTAAAGATAATTAGAAATAAAAAAAAAAAACCAACACAAACCATACTGGAGTCATTAACACGGCAGGCCAGGATGATAAATTGCAGACTTCCACAAGATAATGCAGCAACCACAGTTGGGAAGACGCCAAAACCCAGATAAGCCTCAACCAAGATAAAGCACGCTTTGCTTCCAGCAAAGAGCCATTTAAAATGCCCCACTTTTATCCTGTTCTCCCAGCTGCAACTAATGAAAGGGATCAGGGCCTTTTCCTCTCCCGTAAGCCACGTTGCTCCCTTCTCCATTCCTCCCTGCATGCCCTAGGATGAAGAGGGGATGGCCCTGGGTCTTCCTCTGAATGCCCAGCCGGACTGTGCCCTTCCCATTTCTTCCACAGCTACCAGAGCCACACTCCCACTCTCTGCCAGCTTCTCAATCTCCCCCTCAGAATCAGACTCCAACAAGGGCATGACAGGTTAGTCGGGTGGGGAGGGAATGGGGATTTTGCAGTATCCTTCCCCTGCCACGCCTGCCATGCCACACCCACAGATCCAGTAGTAACAAAATTTTTGAATCCTACCACTGATCCCACCCCTGATCGTAAGCGTTAAAAAAATGGTCATAAATCACTTTTTTTCAGTGCCATTGTAACGTCAACGGTCACTAAATGAACTATTATAAATGGCAGGGGGGGGGGCACCTGTACGTATCTACTTCAGGGTAAAACAAGGAGGGTTGATGGGTTCAGGTATGCAAAGCCTCCCGTCCCTTCTCTTTTTTTCCTATGCCAATTCCGTATCACTCTGCAAGCCAGGTTTTTTTTTTTTTTTTGCAGTAAACATCCTTTTGGCTAACAGGCTTGGCTTCCATTGCTAATCAACAGGAAAGGAAATGGGAACACTCCCGTCCTTTGGCTCACTTGTGGCCTGATAGGTTTTTCACCACAAACAGTAAACAGGGTTAATATTTCCCTGTGCAAAACAAAAAAAACAAAAAAAACGCAAGCGTCTTACGTCTTTGGAGCTCTGGGCCTCCTGCTCTGAGTTAGATAATATTTTCCTTCCAAAACTGGATGGAAAAAGAAATGCGACTTTCAGCTTTTCCTGGGGATTCAGTTCACCTCACTTCTCCCGTCGTGAAATGGGAAGATTTTACCAGGACACACATCCAGTGTGACTTGCTAACTTCCAGCGGGACCAAAAAAAACATGCCTGAAGAGTTTCAAGAATTATTTTAATCCGAATCCTGGTCTGTTAAAGTAAGAATCAGGCACAGGTGTTTGCAAAATATTCTGTATCATTAGAACAGAATAACAGAGTTGGAAGGGACCTTGGAGGTCTTCTAGTCCAATCCCCTGCTTAGCAGAAAAACCCTACACCATTTCAGACAAATGGTTATTATTGTCTGTTTTTAAAGTTTTTTTCTAAGGCGACGGAAGGGAGAAATAATTAAACACATGGCTGGGTGGTAATTCTATTAATTCGAATGGAGTGTTGATGTACGTGAAATCAACTCAAAGGTTCGTCCTGGTCTCGCCCAGTCACTTCTGGGGTGGGTGAGACACATCACCCCATCAGCTTATCACTCAAAGGCTGGGGTGATCATTGCTTCGGAAAAACTGGGTTGGCTCTAATAAACCACAATGGCCAAATTTGTATAACATGCTCCATAACACCAATCAAACCACATTAGTGTGAAGAGAGGAGAGGGGAGGGGATGATAGAATAGAATAGAATAGAATAGAATAGAATAGAATAGAATAGAATAGAATAGAATAGTTGGAAGGGACCTTGGAGGTCTTCTAGTCCAACCCCCTGCTTAGGCAGGAAACCCTACACCACTTCAGATAAATGGTTATCCAATCTCTTCTTAAAAACTCCCAGTGTTGGAGCATTTACAACTTCTGGAGGCAAGTTGTTCCACTGATCAATTGTTCTAACTATCAGGAAATGTCTCCTTAGTTCTAGGTTGCTTCTCTCCTTGATTAGTTTTCATCCATTGCTTCTTGTCCTACCTTCAGGTGCTTTGGAGAATAGCTTGACTCCCTCTTCTCCGTGGCAGCCCCTGAGATATTGGAACACTGCTATCATGTCTCCCCTAGTCCTTCTTTTCATTAGACTAGACATACCCAGTTCCAGCAACTGTTCTTTATATGTTTTAGCCTCCCGTCCCCTAATCATCTTTGTGCATCCAAGCACCAGCCAAACCATACCTCTGGCGGCCCACTGTGATTCCCTGGTCATGCTGTGCATGAAACCGAAAGCAACATACAGTTATGACCAATAAGCACCAATAGACTTTATTCTGCCTGGATCAGTTCAATCTCTACCTTTTAAAGCCTATCTTTCTTTGAAGCCATCTTCCTTGGGGGCCATTACCATACAATGTTGCAGCGAGTGTCATAGGCTGCTTAGCTGCGATGTTGGAAGATTGCATATGCACTTGAGCGCATGAGAAAGAATAGATGAGGTGGGTGACTTTTGTCCAAAATTGGGAAAGAATCAGTATGCGATGGAAGCTTCCTGGAAATATTGCAAAGCTGGGCCCATCCAGACATATTGAGATCCACAGTCGCTTAATAAATTTATCTGCCTTCATTGTAGGACAGGAGGAAGAAAACTGCCTGAGAACAGATTTCTCATTTACTGTTGAATTTATAGTTGTTGACATCAAATTGGCATGGTGTATGTCTTCCTATTGTTTCTTAATCCTTGTTTGTTCCTACCATGCTCTGCCTCAGTTTCCCTTTCTATCAACAAGGTCACTTCAATCCCAACAGGAAGTCCCTTTCCTGGGTGGCTTGGCTGCAGAAGAAAGGGAGATCCTGTCCAACAAGGTAATTTCTCCCATTAGCCAGACCAAAACCTTCTCCAGCTTGCCATGGTGATCCACCACAGGACAATATTGACCAGATCGTCAGGTTTCCCTCACCTGATCTCATTTTGTTTCCCTCTTGTTATGGGAGACTCTGCAAAACATTGCAGTTGGTGGTGAAGAGTTGTCTCCACTCAACACATTGCACATCATTGATTAAAATAATCTTTGATGTACCACAAAGGAGGCAGAGACAAGACCACAAATCTCAAATTCTTAACTAAAACCCATGGAAAGCAACAAACTGTGTGGTCAGAATCCATTTTTGGCCAAATTGAGACTTAAACCAGCCTCTTCTCCATTCATCCATCACTTGGATTCAAGCATGATGGTACAGCAGCATCAAGTTCTACAGAAATAGCGAAAGCTAGTTTCTTTCAGCCTGGATAATGATTACATTCTCTCACTGTACTTTATTTAATCATAGCTTCTTAAATAAATCACCATTGGTTGGGTGGACACAGTAGGTAAACTCAAACCAAGGGAACTGCTGCACCCATGCTTGGCACAATATGTAACTCAAACCCATTTGTCTCTCTACCTAAATAGGTTAGAACACCTGGCAATTCAGAAATTCTTAATGATCTACTGTAAGTTATTACCATAGATCTATAAAATATCAGCGGGAGTCTGGTAGCACTTTTTTCAGACTAAAGTTATTCATGAAGTCAACTTGATAAAGTCAGCTGTGATTCATCAAAGCCTATACTTGTGAATAAAATTGGCTCGTCTGAAAAGTTGCTACCAGATTCCTTCTGATTTTTGGCTGCCGTAGATTAATTCAGCTCTCTTATAATGTCTAGGAGATCTACAACATGAGCAAATAATCCATTTCTGTTCCCCTTGTTCCTTTCCCAGGCTGCCAACTCGGCTACAACAGCTGTGCAATCAGACTATTTTTTGACACACTCGCCTTGACTCACCTTCCTAGGGGCAATCCTGCCCCAACAGTGATGTCGGAGGTGCTATTGTGTCATTTCCCCCCAAATTCAGGCCCCAAAATATTTGGCTCCCCACCCTGCAGGGCCCTATATACCTACCCTTTGATGCCTGCCCCACCAGGACTCTCTTACTTTGGAGGAAAAGAATCAACAGCTTGTAGGGACTCCAGGGAAAGGCAAGGAACTGGCTTGTGGCAGAGAGAGAGAGATCAGAAGAGCTAAATTTGTCTGCCTTGGCTTTGGGACAGATGTGGGAGGGGGGCAGAGCAAGGCCTTTGAACAGAACATGTGAAGGACAAAACAAACAACCACACACAGGCAATAAGGGGAAGAAAGCAATGGGGGGGAAGGAATTGGGATGGGTTGATATATACAACCACCACCCACCTCAATAATGCAGCCTTGGAAATTACTCCCTGCAAGATAGGGCATGTTTTTAACTAGCTGGAGGTCATATCTAGAGGGGTCACTCTTGATAGAATGGTATTTGAAAAGGAAAGGCAAGTGAGCGTTGGGGAAGGCTGGAAGGAAGGAAGGAAGGAAGGAAAGAAAAAGAGCAAGGAAGGAAGG